ATATATATATATATATATATATATATATATATATATATATATATACACACACACACACACTGATAGACTTTCATAAAACCAATCTATATAAAAATGATGTATGGGAGGTAAAAGTACCTGAAACGTAATAAAAGGAATCTAGCAGTGTTCCATCTAGTAAAATCTGACATTATTTATATTATTCGTATTCGTATTTTTCGAAATTTACTGAGAGTTTATCGAAAATGAAAATTGTGATATTATTATAAGCACGCTTATAATGTGTTCTTTGTTCTTTTCGAGATAAAATAAACAAAAAGTTGGGAGCTGTTTTTGAGAAAATGTATTTCTTAAATAGGCTTTACTCCAAGTGAAACTTCTCTAATTTAAAAAACAACATTTATGACTTTACTTAAAGATCTAATTTTGAACAGGTTTCGTTAAGGAATTAACTATCATCAATGTTCCTTTTCTTGAGTTATTTTTCTGCAATTTTTGATAATACAGAAAGTTTACGGGAAATGTTGGACCTTGTACCCCATAAGCGTTTTATTTTTCCAAAACGGTTCGTCTGCGCCGTCAGACTGAACAACACTAGCACATAAACTATCCGTAGAATTTTTCCAAAATGAGTATCCTCCTGCCGATGTGACACGACTCGAAAATATTCTTAAAGTAACCTATATCAATTCTGCACACTATAGCCCGCCAGAATTAGCTACTGTAATTTTTTGATTTGTATCGTGTACGATAAATATAATTCTTTTCAAACTTTTGCAGCAGAATGTACTGTTAACGGCTAATTTCTTTTGAAACCCTACTTAGACGTCTGCATCTAGGGTCGGAATTATTCTCATGATACATCATGTTGGCGGCATTGATTTCTAAATAAAATTGTTGTCATGTCCATGTAGTCTGTAAGAAGGAGACTCAGCTCCGGCGGAGGTGTGTATGGAAAGCGTCGGCAGCTAATCGGACTCGCATAGCCTCAACGACATCGCGCAGTCAATGGGAGAAGATAACTTTTTAAAGCATTTTCGGCCAATAGCCACTAAGCTCATGTGTCAAATCAATGCCATCTACATTTAATTCCCCTCATTAAAGTGTGCGTGGCTAGGCCACGCGCGTAGTTATTGGCAGCAGAAAACCAAGATAAGTTTATATGCATACATTCACAATTCAGGTCCGGTGATGTCGCTGAAAGTAAGCCCAATTAGCTGCCCACGTTTTTGTACTACCATACCTCCAACAGTGGAGTTGAGGCTCCTTACAATCTTCATGGCCATGACTAGGAATGCGATAACGATGTCGATGTTTTAAAAACGTCGATGTCTTTGTAAAATCATCGGCGAATTAACATCGATTTTTTGAAGCCGGTGTTTTAACATTAATGAGTTACATTCGATGTTTTTGCGTAGTCGATATTTTTAAAATAAAAAGGTCTGTCTTAACAAAATTCTATTCTGATTTTCAGATAACCATTAATTGAGTATTCTACAGACGAAAGTGACCAAGGGAGAAAAATAAATATTAATGAAACATTAATAAAGAAACCTGCATTATTTATTGGATTTTACCAGCAGATAATCCAAGTTTTCTTAATTACCATGATAAGGTTTTTACTTTGTTTTGTCAGTTATATCTTAATTTGAAACTGTTAAACGAGATCACTTTCAAATTAAATCTCCCCGAGAAAACGTCAATAATTTCATTATGAATCCAATTTTTAAATTATCAATGTTCAAAAACATCGATTTTTTTGTCGATTTATTATTCACGTGAGGGAGTATCTGTACGGCAGTCGACAGCAATCTTCATCTTCTGCGGTGCGCAGGTGCACAATAGCGATGCGAAACTCGAGCAGAATATAAATTTTGCTGTCGATTGCTGTAACGCTTTGCTGCGCGAAAGTCCCTACGGATGATTTAATTCCGAGCATCGAGTTTTCGTTGTCGATCCCTAATCGTGAGTGTTCTTCGACCTTTCCAAGGAACGTCGCTCGGTTCCAGAGTAGTCCGCGCGAGCGCGCCGAATGCCGCATGCTTCTCAATCAGTTGTTGACGTGCCCGCAGGCAGCGCCACCGAGCGTCGTCAGTTCCTGGCAGTGGGGACAAGCAGTCGCCCACCCGTCGCTGGCCTTGCGTCTCGCCATCACCACTACCACGCCCACGCCCACGCCCACCACCCGACCGGTTGAGCTGGTCCAAAAAGTAAGACCCCCCCCCCGCCTTATTGCTTGTTTAGATTGTACATGATACAGTTTACACTCTTTCATATGTATTGTTGACTTACCACTAACTTAAAAGTATGCTTGATCATGGTCTATTATTGGTACTACTAAATTGGGGTAGATACCTTAAAATATTTTAGGAAGGAATCGAAAGGGTATTGTCGCTTTGTGTTGTTTGTTGAGGGTAAATTGTATTGTTGATCTATTGAGTTTTTGTATGTTACTGTAGAAATTCTTGGATAGGCGTACTATTTGTGAAATGACTGAGTTCATTTTTTATTCTCTATGGAGTTGTTGATGTGAAAGAAACCATGGGGTGTATGTAATTAATATTAGGAATGCGTTCTAGTCTATCCTACTTGTATTTTCTTAAAGATGGATGATGCAGCATTTGGCCAAATGCGACAAGCGTATAGCATTATGGGTCTCCAATGTTTTTACAGAGTGTAATTGTGTTGGTTAATAAAAGTTTGGAATTTGCGTTCAATACTGGCAAAAAAAAGCGCTACCATGAGTGAATAGACGTTGCACGCCATAAACACCCTCAAACCTTTTGCAGGCTACAAAGAGTTACTCCGAGGGAAATTATTATATCATATTCTCAATCGTAACCACTTAGTACATACCTTAAATCTTCTATCAGTGAATAACTTTAATCATTAAACGAACGAGAGTGAACTGAGATGCGATAACTTCACAGGTTACCTTATCCTTGAGTTTTAATCAAATAAATATGCATGGCGAAATGTGACTTTAATTAATACATATTTAATTTTAAAATCTACTTTAAAAAGTTTTTCTATTTAAAAGGCTACTTTTCAAATTTCTGGACAACGCCAGAGAAAAAGAAAATACATTGAAGTAACAAATCGTTCGTTTCTCGAGCCGTGAGGAAACAAAGCAAAAATATCAAAATGCCCAATTTTCAATTGTTTCATCAACAGGTTTTTTCTGACAAATACTCACAAGGACTGTGCCATTCAGCTTTGGCACACTCCGGGACTTCAGCGAAGACATCACTATCACCGAGACCTTCTGGACATTTGGCTAATTGAACATACTCTATTCCATATTTTGTACATTTTTTATTATAATTTTGTAAATATATTTAAGAAAAGTTTTGAAAAATAAAGAATGTAAAGGCTAAAAAAATCTGTATTGTCTTCTGTCTTCAAATTTTACCCATTGCATATGCTCCTTAACTGACTATTCTTCACTATTGGGTTTCACTTAAAAATGTTGTAAATGCGTATGGTGTGGATACCAAAAAAATATTGATATAATATTGAATTTAATAAAAGATCGCCATAAAGAATAAAGTTATTCCAATATTTCCGTTACCTGCACATTGTGCGTCTAGCAGCAATCCAAAATCACGAACCACCTCTTATTACCCGCTTCCTACACTCGCAGGACTTGGCGACAAGGTGTTTTGCCTCATCGTGAACCCAAAAATATGGAATTTTATTTCACTTAAAAACACATTTTCGCATTTCTGATATTTAAATATTTTCTGTTTTGCTGAAAAAGTATATATATTTTTTCGAAGATGACTTAGATTTTTTTCTGACTAGTCCCCACCGATTTGTATTCTTGCGATTCACGTAGTAGGTAATCTGTGAACGTATATTCCAGATAATGTGTCCAGATATTAAGTCTGCACACGCGCGGGAACCCGACAGAAAGGAAAGAATTCTTGGAATTCAACACGCCCCGCTGTCCGCTATATCGCAGAGTCTGCGTGGGCCCTATTCCTAGAATAAGTATTGTAGCCAAGACCTTTTCAGACATCGTGGCATCTAGCACGTTCTAGCTCCTGAATATTCTCAGAATTGCTATCGCTGGACACCAAAAACTCGACTGTTCTGGAGTTCGGTTTCTATTGAACAGAATAGTTGTTTAAAAAAAAAAATATTTCCTACCCGTTCGGCCATTTTCGCCTTTGTGTCTTTGGGTGACTGCGGTCACGTGGGAGCGATGCTGTGTGCGTGCTCCGAGGTGAGGACTGGTTGAGTGCCACGACTCGCGGCCAATTCTCAATCTGGTAAGATCGGTCCTGCGATCGAGGCAAAGTGTAAATTCATTGTAAATATTTGTTGTGTTTTCTTTGTAAATAAATATTTGCTATATGAAAGCTCTGTGTCTGTGTTCGCTGTGAGTATCCATGACGTCATACTAATGTGAAAGGTCTCCACGCTGACGCTGTACAGTTAAAAGGTAAGGACGTTTAAAAAGATAAAGGAATCAAGATATTTTTAAAGTTTTGATAAATCTGGAAGGACAAATGGAGGAGGAAATCGAAAACTTAAATGTACGTGATATCGTTTGTTTGAAAAACGCCCCAGTCACGTCTTGTGATGTAGAACGTACTTTTTCGGGTTTGAAGCCCTCTTTCGAGAAAACCGAGAAAGATTAGCCAGGAACAATCTAAAGATGACCTTTGCAGTATACTGTAATACCAGTATTAAAGCAAATTTGTTTTAAAAGCAAGATCAGTTGAAATAAACTCAACAATAATCATGATATTTGCAAAATATTTGTTTTATTTTTTCCGCATATTTTCCTGCCTTTCCCACGTATTTGGAGGTTTTAATAACATAAAAATTTTCATATTTTAGACAGCACCCAACAATCCGTTCTCTACTGATAAGAGGTTGTTTTATTACGAGCACCCCAACCATCCGAAGTGCGGCTTACAAGCAGGGGCGTGGAGGTGGTGGTGGGGGGGGAGGTGAAGGCACCTGTGCGACCAGTGAGTATTATAACTAGCGAGCAGTTCATAATATGAGCTGCAAATAACGAGCTAGTGTCGCACACATGCGACACTAGCGCCCTCGTGGACGAAGCCGAGGACAGTGGCAGCCTCTGTCTTTGCTCGGAGCGGAGAGATTATTTTTCAGACATAACGATTGCTTGTCCGGGAGGATCATCCGCCATGTGGTCATTCACAAATTCAAGATACAAATGCCATTAAAATTGCAGGGAAGTAAAACTTCTCTACTACTTTAACAGTCTTACAAAGTTATCTACTCGTTCACACATCCTCTACAGTCAATCATTAAAACAAATCCTAGGCGTAACGGACCCCTAACGTCAATGGATATTGTTATTGACGTCTTTAGGGCCGGTTTCACCAACAGCCGCGTTAAGTTGAAAGTAGTTACCCGAGAGTAAGAATTTACTCTAATATAGTAACTCTCGAGTAGAATATAAGCGTTTTACCACCCTTGTTGAGGGTTATTTTACTCTACAGTACATACTCTCCGATTTACTCCGCGAATCAGCTGAACGCGCAATATATGAGAGCGATTCAATGGGCTGCGAGCGAGAGTGACGCTAGGAACCACTGCGGCCCAACGCGAACCTTTATTACCTTATATTCTATCATTCATTTTAGTTTCGGACTTCTTGGCGTTATTATCTTGTGCGGCGTTAACGTGATTCGAGTTGGCATAGTTAATTTCTTAGTTTTTGTATCTTTATTTCTTAATAAATATTCATTTTTCTTTGGAGATGAGTTACTATTTTCTTTGCAATGCAGAAAAATCAAATTTGCAGTTCGTTTACCGACGACGATGCAAATAAATTTTCTATAACTCAAGAACGAAATGTTTAGTTTTTCAAATGTTGAACTCGCGTTTTTCTAAATTTTATTATTATTATTATTATTATTATTATTATTATTATTATTATTATTTGTTTTATTTTTTAAGCTTGTATTCACTTTTGAACTATTTATAGTTAAAATGTGTTGTAAAGGGATTCTGGAACTCAAGAAAACGTGCGCAAATGATCTCCCCCATACGTCACATACAGTTTTTACTAAATTAATTAATATTTCTTAGTACTTGTAATCCCTGTAGTTATTATTTTTGCTTTGTTATCGTATACGGTACGTAATACCTTTATTTCGTATCCACATGGGGCGAAAAATAAATTTACAAGTTCTCTACAGTTTACAATGTATCTGATGAAGTTAACAGCTGATTTGGTCAAACATAACCTCGTGACAAAATCTCGATCGGCGTAATTAAAATCAATCCATTCTCTGTGGCACCCTTTGTCTTCGCACTAGTGGATAATATTCCGATCATTGCTGGAATCGTCTTCAAATACTATCATTCGTAATCGTCGAGCCGCAACAACACTTCGGAGGCACATGCACGTTGAAAACTGAATTTACTCTGTACTTTACCCGACGGTTTTTCGCAGTGTAAAATTTCTCTCGAATTTACTTTCGTGCAAACGATTAACACTCGAGTAAAGAGTTAGTGAAACGCTTCAAGAAGTTACTCTCGAGTAAACATGATTTACTGAAGAGTAAACTCTTACTCTTTGTTTGGCGAAACAGGCCCTTAGACAGATAAACAGCAAATAACAGACGACATTTCTAAACACAAACATTTAAACACAATCTGTTTAGCAGATGTATGAGTGGCGTAACATTCGAGCCCACATCTCTTGATTGGATACTTGTCTGGCCGAGATGAGCCACGTCCCAGTCGATCAAACGTTTCGGCCAACGTGTTGTGGCCTTCTTCAGAGCTAAACTGCTGAAATTATATTGATTATTGCAGATCAGTAATCTCTTAGTAACATTGATTTCTTATGTAGTAATCGTGGACTGATGAATTGATAGATAAGAATTTGTTGAAGGATATTTTTATTTTTTAAGGTACTAACACTACTTGTGTTTGCTGTCCTTGTACACTTTTATAAAGGGCGCTTTTATAAAGTTTTGCAAGCCGTTACACATTTCGTTATGCTTCTGAAATGTATGATTCCTTTTAAAATAGTAAGTGTTCCACATTTTAAAACGTTGAATGGTGTAGATATTCCGAATGGTACTTAAGAAAAGGGAAGCGCTGCAACTTTTGACCAGAAAAAAAATTTAGGTAAGACAAAGAATACTACGATTTTCAATATTAAGGTCAAAGCAAGAATATTGACAATATAATTGAAACAATTGTGCTGGCTGAAACAAAAAATTGAAGACGAACTCTCTCAAATCGTTGCGAATTTTTAAAGATGAAAATAGATTTAATATTCCTAGTTCGCAATAATGTTGAAATGTGAAGATAAATAAATATTCTACCGCAGGCTAAATTTAGTACATTACATCTGAATTCATTTTATAGATTCCGAAAACTTGGACCTGTTTTTGAGACGAAAATGTGAAGGTTACATTCGCAAGAAGGCCAGTATTTTATAGCAAGTACATATTATAATTGTTTTACTACAAGTTTTACTACGAAAGGTCTATTCGTGGTTAGTTAAAAAAGTAATAGTACTTAGTATGTAATTTTTGAGGTATGCCAACGTGATGAACTTGTAATTGACTATTGATAATACACAAATTACGAGTAAAATAATGCAAATTATACTGAAATTTATAAATTAAAGGAATTCTTATAGACTTTCATTAAAATCATTTGATTTGTAAAGAAAGCATCTACATCTCTCTAATTTGGAAACTAAACGAATTTTCGTTGGTTATAGGAATGAACAATGCTCTAAATATATTGTGAGTATGAACAATATACGAAATACTCGGAGAAAGATAGTGGTATTTTTGTAATTAGACGCTCTTGCGCTCTAGACAAGGCATTGTTTTCGACGATCTTCTGCCACATTGTTTGTTGAAAACGGTGGCGATCTGCTCTCGTTAAGAGACATTTGGAGGTTTGTATTACTCGTCAGTAACAGCAGCATATATGCATTATCTATATCGAAAAGAATGACAATTGCTAAACAATAATTCAGCACTCACGAGTTTACAACAATATCTACAGGTTCAAGTACCCGACGTCGGCACCTTCGACCTCTTACAAAGGTCTAGAAATTTGCAATAATAAAAATACAATAATGTTCATTTAATAACTAGAATTAATATAATAAACAATAAGTCTACAATTATCGTGGCCATTATTCCAGTCAGTATAGTGAATAAATAGTTGTGACGTTGTTCCTCCCGCTCTGAATGGCGAGATCCGACGACATGCGGGTGCGGAGTTTCCCCTCCAAGTATCGCCCCCAACGGGATTCCGCCCAGACGGAACAAGATCTAAAGACTCCAATATCATATATTGCGCCGGATCCCCACGTCTCTAGTTACAGCACTTACGGAAGTTATTTTAAAACACTGTTATTTCAATGTTGACACATTCGTCTGATAAGCTGTTATCTTTCATTTTCCGAGTTGCAAGTTTCGTAAACTTGTGTGAGTCCAGTTTGCCTCAGTTATTCTGACTGAAAACATGTGAACAACATGTGTTTAAATAAGGGCACGACAGTCGAAAGCCGAGATTATACGTATGCAATGGCATATGTACTTGTAAAAGGCTATTGTTCATGTCTCAAAATCAGCTCAAAAATACTCATATTTTCAAAAAAATTGAACATGATCTAATTTTAAAATCTATTTTTGATAAACATCCTCTCCTGTCGTTGCTTTGCACCAACACAACCTAGATATACAGTTTCTAGTTGGTGTTGATTGCACTCCACAGTTGTATGATATCTTAAACTGGAGAATATTATAATTTTATGAATGATGGCCTAAATAACACAGTTCTTTTAGAATTATTTGCCTCCGGTATGAAGAAACGATGAAAGCCATTATACGGTCTGTAGACCGTCATATTTATTTACTCGTACATCAATACATTGAGAATACCTATTGTAGAATTTAGTAAAGTAAAAGTGTGAAAAGGCAAAAATAGAATTAATACAGGCATTTTCAATAGAAAATTATAATCAAAATTAAATTAATTATTTTTCGTATCATTCATTCAATTTTTCTCATGGCTCGTAGTTGGTGTGAAACCTGTATATATTTAATTAATTTCAAAAAACAAGTTTTTTTCAAAAACAATGTACATGAAATTTTTTAAAGAGATAATTTTGTACAACATACTTTCTTTGAAGCAAAAATCTCTATGTTTAACTTTGTCGTTTTGAATTTTTTTGCAATTTTCGAAAAATATAGCAATACCCGAAAATGAGACTAGCACTATATTTCTTGCCGTTCCTTATTACATATGTGGAGAAATTTTAAAGAAAAAATTGGAGCGGATTTTGAGAAAAAAATATTGTTGTAAATTTCAATCGTCAAATACGCAAAACTATTCGTTTTTCAAAAAATTGTAAATGGCGTTTTTTGAAGAGTAAATTTTGTACAAAATCTGTATCTGAAGCAAAAATCTCTATCTTCAATTTCGTAGTTTACTTTTTTTAAATTTAAAACAAAACCAGCATTACGCGAAAGTATGAGTAGCGCCATATTTTTATATAGCAAAACCATAGACTAGTATATAATACAAGAGTTCGTATATGCCAAGAATTTCAAAAACGTTACTGTGCCATAACGCAACCCCATAATAGCTAATATTTAATCGCAGGCGACCTTCCCCTTGGAGACTTGCGGTCGCATGTCGTCAGCAGCGACGTCCTCAGTATGACAACTCAGTCGATGCGCGTAGTATGAAAATAGGCTGATTAACACAGTCAAATATTTGAAGCGATGCGTCAGAGATAGTCACGAGTTACAAAACGGTAGTTTTACAGGAGGGCTAATTTTGACTTTGGATAATTTTTAAAATCGGAGATTTTAAATGATTGATGCAAATTTTACCCGAAATTATCTGTATCCTTATCTAAAACATTTCAGAAAGACAGAATTAAATATGAACTTAATTTCTATGTTATATGAACGATAATTTTAATAGGTGAAGATGATCTGGGGGTGGATTTCTCTCCAGAAAAAAAACGACATTTCTCAGAAGCATTTATTTTAATACATGAAACTTAACTGAGTTAAAAATTAATATTTTATAAGAATATCAAACAGTCTTCGACCTATTGTAATGAGATGTTTAAATTGTTTGAAATCTTCCATCAATTTATATGAAATCATCATAACAGACAAGAAAAAAATAATGTAATAACTTTACTGGAAACTACGAAATGATAGCAAAAGATTGTCTCTTTTGTCACAAATATTGAGCCACCAATCTTAACTGAATGTAAACTTCTCGTGTTTGGGAGAAACCCTAAAAAGCTAAGAATGTAATTCAAGAGAGACATCATTCAGATTTTATTTAATATCAGTAATTTTGTATTTCTTTTTGGCATCGTAAATGGATTTCCACTAGAATATCAATATTTTATGCGGATAATAATAGCTTCTGTATAATGTTTAATTGTATTTATTGTAGGTTTGAGTAAGATTGAATACATCAGAATTTCCTGCTCAAACTTGAACAGAATTTTGTAACAGTAATCAGATCAGCAATCTCAAGCATGTAAGCATCAGTGTAAAGAATGTATTTTATTAGTTATTACATAGGCTACCATATATTTTTAGTTAATACCAGTTAAGCATTTGTCATTTGAAAACTATTTTATCTCCATCTAGGTAACTAATATACGTGATTTCTTTCGGGGGCGTTATAAGAAACTTCACAATATTCGTTTCTCCAAGATTTTGTAGCTTTCTCTTCTTACGAAGTATCTTCGAAAGGGCTAGAAAGTAAAAATAAAACCAACGAGAGAAATGGATATCAACTCTGCCTTAGAATTCCATATCCAATCAGCAAATGACAGTTCACTATGTCTCATTCGCGACCTCTAGTTATCTACCGCAATATTTCAAATTTCATGGAAGTGTGGCTTTTGAGTATCACTGACGCTACACCTCATCTGCATTTTTCAGTCAAAATCGAAACTGTTTGATTCTTTTTGGATTTTCCCGAAATCCCAGAGCCCTCTATTCCTGGGCCTTCCATTACACTTTACCTCCATTCCACACTTACTCCCATTCCGCACCATCACCTCTGTGCTTGGATCCAGAGTGGAGCGGTGCGGCTGGGTGTGGACGGTGTTGGGGCGGAGCGGGGCGAAGATGGGATGCGAGGGTGGGGGCGTGGGCGTGGGCGTGGGCGAAGCGTGAGGCACGGGTGGAAGAGAGTGGCGAGGCTTGGGTCAGGAGCGAGGGGCAGAGGCCGGGCGTGGATGGGTGGCGGGCTGAGGCGTGAGGCCGGGCGTGGGGCGGGGGTGGGACAGGGCAGAGGTCAGCGGTCAGCGGGGACAATGGGTGACACGTGACGCGCGGGGCAGCGCAGCGCAGAGCAACGCAGCGCAACGCACCGCCGCGCCGGCCGTCGCCATGGACGCACGCGGCACCGGACAGGCGCTGTTCGACGCCGCCGCCGCCCTCTCCGAGTCGCGAGGTACTCAACACCAGCCCGCGAACGCTCTGCTGCGCCATTCGAGCCAGGTTTCGCACTTTTGTTACATCTTCACATTACGCACGAGTTAGGATCTCATGAAACTACAGTTCAAAAAGAGCTTCAGCACGCTCGCCAGATCCTTAATGCACTATAACAATATATGTCGTTAAGCATGAAAAATGTCACAAATCATCACTGATTTATATTAGCTGTACTTACGGGTAAGTGTTTCGCTGCTTGTGGAAAATTCGTGTTTATTACGAATTAGAAACGGTAGTTTATAATACAATTGACAAATCTCAGCAGGAATCACGTATGCGATCACGATCAACTATCTTTAACCTACAATCATTAGTTCCATTTTATTGAACAATTGAATTCATTGACGAATTCTTCATTAGCACAAAAGCTTACTCATTCACGCTGCTGTTTACGACGCAACTCCATTTTTGACGGTTTGGATTAATATTAATGTGATAACCCTATCTCGGAAGTAAAACGTAACATCGTACCTCCCATGTAAGGTTACTTCTAACAACAGTCACGTGACTCGCAGTGCGTTATGTCAAGATGTTACTAATGTGCTAAAATTCCATAATGTCGCTTGACCATAAAAAAAGAGCTTTTTGTGTTTTTCTCAGAGGCGAAACCGGTAAGGGAGACACGTGATTTCTTTTGCTCTTGGTCCACGTTTTAACGTCACCTACACGAAAGCATTATTAACCCTGCTGTACTGTCCGGAAATAAGGGGACTGTAAAGAAAAATGTTTTACTCTCACACGTATCAAGAAATCATTTTGATACTTCGTGACTTGGTTTTGCACCTAAATGTCTTCAAATGTAGTATTTAATTTTTTCGTCTGTCTATTATAGTTTTTTTCTAAAATGTTTATTGTTCCTTACTGTTCGAGACTTGGGCATCCAATAGTCAAAATTCAATCAAACTAGTTTCTAAGATATAAGAATTGAAACTATAAGAGTAGAATTTTACATTTTGATAACGTAAACGAAAACACGTAGAATTACAGTCCATTTCATCACACAAATAAATTTAGTAATTCTGTTACACAAAAAACTAGTGGTGCTACAGAATGGCACAGACTTTCCCGTATTAGTTATCTATTTCCTTTCGTCTTGGCTAGCTATTTGGGCTTGCCACATTTTCTTACCTGCTGCCATCTATCGCCCCCCCCCCGGAAGCTCATTTTTTTAAAAACGTTCTTAATTTTTCAGTTTCCTAATAGTAGATTCGAATTACTGTAAATATTTGAAAGAAGAGCAAAATATCGCCCTAAATGGCAATTTGTATTGAAAAATTTGGAGCCGTTTTCAAGCAAATGGTGTTTTAGCGTTACTGTGAATGTGAAATTTGAACCTCTTTTCACATAAAACTATTGAGTTTTCGAAAAACTTCATATGAAGTCATTTCCAACATATCTAGTCACAAATGCAATAATCTGTACAAATCGTTGGAAATGTGCATATTAAAGGCATGAGATATATTTTCAAAAAATTACATTTATGTAATTTTTGAAAAACAAAAGAATACAGCAAAATGAACTTTTTTTCATTTTAAACAGTACAATTAGCACAACCTGTTGGAAAATTTTGAAGAAACAAAGTTGGAAATTAAAGCCGTTTTTGAGAATATATTGTTTTTTATTAGTTTAAAAATTACACATATTCCTCGCAATATTTCGCGAAAACTACTAAAATTTAAAAAAATGTACATAGCCTTAATGAAAGAACTCACTATGGAGAACAAATTTTAATTGAAGGAAAAATTTCTATTTTCAATTTTCTAGTTGAAAGAAGTCGCCCGGATATTTTTGAATTTTTCGAAAATTCTGTGTTAAACCTGAAAAGTGGACCTTTGCCACCTTTATAACCGTATTTAACTCTATTTTTACAAGAAATTTAAAGAAAAATTTGGAGTCGTTTTTGAGAATGTTTTAAAAACATTTCGGAGGGCTTCATGCAAAATACCTCCAAATTTTAAAGATTTGTTTTCAAAATCTCAAAGATTTGACTCGAGACATATCGACACAGGTTTCTTCAATTTGGAAAAAAAATCTTGCGATTGGTTAAGGCGGTAGTAGTGTTCACAGACGGCCGGCCAGACAGACTACTACCGAAAAAACTGAAAAAAACCTACTTTTTCGGTGTCAGGGGATCTCGAAATCTATATTCCGTAGCATTACATAACTTTTCATATACTCCATGTATACGTTGCATACACGGGAAAGTAAAAATGTAACTAGTAAAATAAAAAGAGCTGCTGGTAGTCCATATAATAAATCGCTGACCATTCTCTGTTACAACATAATCACATTTTCAAGCTTTTGCGTTACGAACTTCAAAAAATCCTGATTGGATTTAAAAAACAATTAACGGAAAGATTTTGATGGACCTGGAAAAGTTTCCCATTAGTGAGTACATGCCATATCTCACATAGTAATAACCAGTAATAATGCTGGGAAAACAGTAATTCCATCAACTGCGTCATAATTTACTGGCCATATGTGATAATTGTACATTTTTCACCGTAAATAATGAAATGAAACATATATTTTATGTTGTGTTTGTATTGAAACATACTTGATCATTACCAATATATTTTGTCCATACTACAAGACATTATTTAACTACAACCAATTGATTAACTGAATAATACTAACACTATATCTTATTATATATATATATATATATATATATATATATATATATATATATAATCATTTCATTTGATAAATCGGTAGATACAACTAATTATTTTTATAATCATTGCTATAATGTAAAAAAACCTTCCGGGTCTTATGAACACGAGTAGTCAGACCATGTACTAAATTCGAAGAGAGAACTCGTAGCAGGGTTAAACCTAAAAATACTTTTTTCTTTTCGTTAACATTTTCGAGGGAAACACACTTTATTAATGTTGTGTCCATGCTCAACGTCCACACAAATATACATAACTGCGTCACTGTTTGATCTAAAGATAAAAATACTACACTTCCGCATTTACTGGTTAGCGGCGGTCGCTTTTCGAGGTCACATCAAGAGGCGTATATTTACTCTAGAGATACACGAGTTCAGCTCCCCTACACTCCCCAGCATAGCCTATCAAGGCAAATAATGGTACTATGGTGTATCTATATCTGTGTTACGATGTACATACCTTCTGAATAAACTTTCGAGGAGTCGTCGCAGAAGAAAAAAGTTTATTTCATGATTATCATTCAGTGCACTGAATAAAATCCAAACCAAGGATTGAAACATTGTGATCAAATTAAACATTGTGTTTATCTGGACATACTTCAATATATGAAATTATTTTAACAGATATAAATAATAGCGTAAAACGTTTAAAATGAAAATCATTTGATGGTAGTCAAGTGATTAATGAATGATTTAATTTCACATATTTCAAAGCAAAATTCGTTGTTCTCTAAAGAAATACACTAAATGAATCGTAGCCTTTGCATGATATGATTCTTGGTTTGATGAAAACCGCACCAATTCTCTCGAAGTTAAAGAGTATAACAATTTCTTAACTGCGCATGTTCTTGGGTGACGCCGTGTCGAAGGCTTTGTTGCCGACGTTTCGACCATTTTGTCGTGGTCTTTCTCAGGGCTGGTATATATATTCATATATCATGCACATGACACTGGCCGCGGAAGCCTACGACTTCAATCTTAACTGTTTCCATCTGTGTAAAATATTGACCAGTGAATCTGTTCGTACCAAAATAATGAAAAACTCCTACTGATGGATGTTTTTTGTCATTTCTGTTGTTTACTGATGGATGTTTTTGTCATTTCTGTTGTTTACTCCATATCTCAAAATAACTATATCTTAACTTATAACCTAAGGGTTGTTGTACGCGTACTTCATCTCCCTTCCTCAATACTTTATCACCATTCGTGTTGCACTAATGGGATATTGGTTCTATCTTTGGTTCTATTTTTGTGTGTCCAAAGTAGCCGCAGTAGTGTTGAACAACGACTCATAGACCACGTGCAATTCTTCCTTTTCCCATCTTTGGTCACCCTCTACAAATACAGTGACATTACTCCGAAAGCGCGGGTGATAATCCAAGACTCGAATTTGGATGCAACACCATGAGAAGATGATTCCTGTACATCAGCCACATTTCACGCGGATCCCGTGTTAAGAGCGTTTGTTTGACAGGGCTTGCTTGTAGGTGTTACATTTTAAGTCATTTATTAGATTTTAATAAAAACAGATAATTTCGTTTTGCAATATCCTTTAAATTCACATGGACTCAAGTCGGACAGATGAAGGGGTTTTGTTTACTCTTACGTATGTGCCTATAATACATTCTAGTTGTTCTTTGGATAACAGACAAGTGATCGACATAAACACATTCTCTCGTAAGCTTACGAGTACTTTGTGTCTCCTTGTATATTAGGCAGCACCATTTGTTTGGATTTATAGCTTTAAATCTTTGCTTCTACTTTTAGGTAGTAAAAAACGCAGGTTGGTTACGGAATTCCAGGTTCAGCCAGCGAAACATTTTTCTAAATCACTGCGAAACGAAACGGTCAAAGTTCGTCTTGGGGATGAGAAACATATTCACTTATACCATTATCTACAGTCATGTACGTCATTCGTGTTCTTTTTTGTTCACAGAAAAGGATTATTGAACTTGTTAAAACTTCAGGGTATTGACCGTTTTCTCTGTCGATTATTTCGTATCGTTTTACCTCGTAGTTGCCTCATTCGATATTTGTTTTATTTATCACAAAAAGTTCTTTCACTTCCGCTAATAGATTTTTATACATACTTCTTCCTCCCAGATTGTATCCGTGTGTAGTCTTGGCTTTGAATAGTGTAATAAACACATAATAGTAGTAAGTAGGTAGGTCTTATTGTCTAGCTTTTACAGATTAGTATTTTTAAAATCAAGTGCTCCGGGTAAAACAATTTTCAAACTATATAATTTGTTCTGTTGAGCCTCTACCAATGGAATACGAATACTATGAGCTATTCCTAGCTCCATGCCCCTACTAAAAATCTTTTGTACTC